TCACTGGATTTTCAGAAAATACTATGCACTTTAGACATATAGAGGGAAAGACAATGATGTAAAGGACTCTGAGCTGAAGGCTACAAGGACTAGCACAGGAGTACCCATGCTAGCTTTAGAGTTTGGTGGCCGCAGCAAAGACATACCTGACACACACACATGACATGGCAGGGATGCCTGAACAACAGAGGAAGGAGGAAGCACACAACAGGTAGCGTCATGAGATACTTTTCCTTGTACATTCACTTGAGAAAATGTTTTTCTTTAAACATTTTCTTCTATGAAAATATGGAGTTGGCATCATGAACAAAGCTTTCCTGAGCTGGAATAATCCACATATTAAGGAAGATATATTTGTTTGCTACTGTTAAAAGATGATCACCCTATATACAAGGAGCTTTAGTATCCCTTACAGACTTGGACACACTGGTTTACAGGCATGTAAACATTACTGCTGGCCATTTCTTTGTACAGGCTTCCTCCAGGAGCTATTCTAAAACTTGTCCTGCTGCTGCTGCCCAAGTTGGCTGGTTGCTCACCGAGAGACTTCTGAAGGATGGCAAGCTGCTCCTCTTCCTTTGCGCGTTCCTGTTCCTCCAGGTTTTCCTTTGGAGGAAGGATACCTTTCTTGCGCAGGATGTCATTCCACTCCGTGTCTTGATTTGGGTCCTAGAACAGAACAAGAAATGGGTAATGTGTATTCAAGGCAGAATTTACCACTTCCAGAACTCAACACAGGCAAGTCTTTCAAGAGATGCAGCATGTTGCTAAACTGGTATCTGCCTGGATGGCACCAGAAAGTCACAGGGTGCATTCCCCTGATACTGAGGCTTCCTTGCAGCCCTAGACCAATACCCTGAAGAGTGACTTGATTTTAGTCCATCCCATTCACACTACATCCAGGAGGTCTTGGTAGGGTACAGAAGTTTGAAATGTTGTAAACATCGTTGCAGCCCTGACAAGGCCAAAGGAAAGGGGAGGAAATCAGCTGGGTGAGACGGAAGCATGGTGGCCACAGCACTCACAGAGCTTCAGCAGAACAACAGGCCACCAGATCAGTAGTCACTGCATTGGGACGCACTGGTGACAAGACAAGCAGGCACCAGCCTTGAGGACCCAACTCTGGATACGTGAGGAGTCTCCTTGGCAGATTCAAGCCAAGTGCTTAGAGAGAAGCCAGCAGAGTCTCTGCCAGAGCAGCCCACTGCTAGGGAATCGCACATAAATCTGTGCCTCGACTGTTTCTGAAAGTTAAAGAGACTTTAATGTGAAACAGTCGCAATAATCCTTCTAAACAAGGCCCATGGGCACCCACGTGTGGTTGAGAAGTTCAGCAGAAGTTGTTCCAAGTTTTATAGCTACTTCATTATTATTATTTTTTTAAAAAATACATGACAATTCAGTGATAAGCACTCACAGGCTGATTTTTGGTTCCTTACTGCCCTGATGGAAGTCCACTTTGAAACCTGAGCACCACACCTACTGCCATGCCACAGCTTGTATCAACACAGCTTACACTACCTGTTTGTGACCGTATCTCTTCTCCAGACCAAAACGTACTTCTGGACTACCGGGAAGGGGCAGGGGGGGATAAAATAAGGAAAGACAACAGAGTTACACAGGAAAGAGCACACCAGGTAACTTTTTTTTTTTCGGGGGGGAGATAGAGGGTCTCTGGCTCTGGTCATTTTTTCCTCAACGTTGTCTTTCACTGCATCTACTGCCGTTTACCAACATAGCCATGAAGTGCCAAAAACACCCACCCGCCCATCTGCTTACTACCGCTGAGAGAAACACCGTACTCGGGGGACATAACAAAAAAAAAAAAGACATTAAAAAAAAAAAAGAAATAAAACAACAAACCACCACAAAATCCAGCTACAGAGCTTCACAACAAGACCACCACACGACAGACCCCTTCGCCCCTAGAAAGGAGGATGGAACCGGGCTTCCTCCCCGTCCGGCCCGGCCGCTCCGCCGGTGAGGGCGGCCCACGGCACGGTGCCCGCCCGGCACCCCGCACGGTGCTCGGCCCCGCCGGGCTCCCCCCGCAGCACCGGCCGGGCGCGCT